GTTGATTTTCTGCTCAATTGCAGATAGCTCAATGAGGAGCATTTGTTCTTTATCCTCAAAGTGCTGAGGTCTTCCATTTTGTAAACTCAATTTTTGTTTACTTTTCTCTCTAATCTCCCCCTCTCTTTTTTTGTAGGTGAAGTTTTTTTTTGTGAGGAATATGTCATGAGGATCATATCCTTTTATAAGGCTCGAGAGGAGCAAGTGAGATCATGGATGATGTAAGGTATACCTCAAGTCACGGGTGAGGCAGTCTGCCAGTACATTTTTATTTCCTGCGAGATGTTCAACAATGAAAGTATATCGTGAGAACCACTCTTGCCAACGTATTAGTAGGCCTAATTTGTTGTCTCCTGCAATCTTAGTTCGGAGGAAATAAGTAAAATTTTTATTATCTGTACGAACCAGGAAATTTACTGGTGTTAAATATACAGAGAATTTTGTAATAACTCTTTTTTACAGCGAGTAATTTTTTTCATTGCTATGGTAGTTTTTTCTCGGCTGCCTTGAAACTGCCAGAGGTGTACCTGCAAATTTGTTCTTCGTTTTGGGGGTTTTAGCTTTAAAACACCTCCCCAAAATTCATCAGAAGCATCAGTTTCAATAATTAAACTGTCTTCAATGTTTGGAAGATAAAGTTTTGGAATATTGATTAAAACTTTCTTTATCTTTTTGATGTAGTCTGTATCAGCATTTGACCAATTCCAGATGACATCTTTTTTCAATTTTACCTGTAAAGGTTTTCTCATGGCTGCAAGTTTTTCAATATATGTTTCAGCATAAGTTAAAACACCAAGAAATCTTTGCAGTTGTTTTTTGTCTTCTAAAACATTTGGAAAGTCATGTAAATGTTCAAGAATATGCTTTTGAGGACAATGAGTACCCTCATTTATTTCTAAACCCAAAAAATTAATTTTTGTTTTGAAAAGATGAGCTTTCTTTTTTGAAAGTATTATTCCATATTTTAAAATGGTTCTGAGAACCTGTGTAACATGAACATAGTGCTCTTGTTCATCCTTGCTGAAGACCATGATGTCATCAACGTATACAGTACAGAAACCTTCAAGTCCTCTAAGGGCGTTCTGCATGTGTCTTTGAAAAATACTAGGAGCTTGTTTAAGCCCAAAGGGTAGTACTTTCCATTGAAAGAGTCCATCAGGACATGTGAAGGCAGTGAGAAGCTGTGATTCTTCATCAAGTAGGACTTGCCAGAAACCTAACTTGCAATCAAAACTTGAATACATATTTTTTCCTCGTAGAAGAGTCAAAAGTTCGTGCATATTGGGAAGATTATGTGAGTCTCCAATAGTTGCATCATTGATTGCTTTGTAGTTGACAACTATGCGCTTCTTTCCTCTTCTTTTTTCTGATTCTTTATTGACAAGAAAGGCAGGGGACATATGAGGGGATTTTGATTCTATAATTAGGCTCATATCAAGTAATTCCTTGATTTGTTTGGAGAATTCTTCTCTATCTTGTAGAGAGTAAACCATAGGTTTTTCTCTAATAACCTTTTTGGGATAATGAGCTTAATTGAAGCTTCATCCATCCTTTGGTTTTATCTGGATCAATAGGATTTTCAGAACAAACTTTTTCAAGAAGATCTTCAATCTGTTTGAACCTGGTAGTTTGAGTAGAAATAATCCTTTCTTTATTAATTCCTTCTTGGGTTATATTAGTACCGGAATTTGTTTTTTTTAGAGCCTTTTTCTTGAGTTTCAAGAAAACCTGGTTTTCCTTTGCTATAGGCTTCTGTAAACTTTTTTATAATTACCATAACATTATTAAGATGAAAGGCAATTCTATCTATCCATTGTATAAATGGTCCATAAACTTGACAAAAGTTGTTACCAATTATGATATCAATTCCTGAATTTTGTTGGTAAATAGTGGGAACGTTGAAATGTTCTCCTGAAAGTTCGAGATTAATATTTCTACAAACTTTATTTATCTTTATGGTTTCACCATTTGCAATAGTGGCACTAATTTCTTTGGGAGCATTTTCCCAGAGCTCATCCGGAATGATGAATTTGCTTGCAAGACATAAAGATGCACCTGTGTCTACAAAACAATGTACTCTAAATTTCTTATATCCTTTAAAGTTAAGGAAGGCAGAAACATAAATAGAGTTTGGATTAGTGAGATTCATGATAAGGGAATCATTAATCTTCTGGAGGTTTGCGCAAAAATGGTTAAACTCCTCCTCCCTAAAAAGTGGAGCCTGTATGAGACTAGTCTGAGTCATCCGTGGTTGATTCATTTTCATCAGAATTTGATGAAGAATCAGTTTCAACATGAAATGTAAAGACATGTTGTATACCTTCATACTCCTCTTCAAGAGGTTCATAACCTCCATTATTAGTGGTTTGTAAAACCTTGACTTTGTCAGGGTATTTTTTCTATTTGGACATTCATTGGCATAGTGTCCTTCTTCATTGCAGATCCAACATCTACATTTTTTCTTTCCTTGTGGACAGGAAGTAGTCTTCTTAGGTGATTCTTTTGAAGGTTTTTTGAAGTATTTTCTTGGTAAAAGTTTTCTTCTTTTCTTTTTCCAGAAAGATTTGTATTTCTTTTTGTTTTTATATTTTTTCTTAGTATAAGTTTTCTTCCAATATCAAAGTTTTGAAATCAGAGAGAATGCTACAACAATCTTTACTTATTGTTTTGAGCTTTTGTTGTTTATATCTGTCTTGACAGATTCTATCAATTTCTTCCTTTGCAATTTTTGTTGCATAAGAAAGACTGGTTTGCTGGATTTCTCCAGTAGCTTCTTTTTTCCATCTTTCAGTACAGATTTCTCCAATAATTGGAATTTTCATTAGATAAGCAGATATCCATTGTGCATATTCACTTCTCTGGGGAATATCATATAGATATGATTCATACATACATGTGTATTTGTCGAGAAGACTAATATCATGTAATTGGAGTTTTGTCATTGAAACTCTTGCTACGTCAACTTTCTTATTAATGGTAAAGTCTTTATTAGAAATATAATCAAGACCTAAGAAAGTAGTGTATATGACATTTATGAGATTATCAAAAAGATCTGAACCATGCAAATCTTCATTCCAATTATTGTTTCTTAGGAACTTTTGCACAATTCCATCAGTTTTGTGTTCTAAAAGTAGAAGAACATTTTTTGCTTTTTCAAATTCATCTGGGTTTGTCTGTAAGATTAGTGAAATCTCAGTAACCCATTTTTCTACAACTCTTTCTCTGAGTTTTAGATCTTGGATACAATGAATATTGTATATTGATCGTATTGGGTCCTTTGTTACTATCTGGGATACCATTGTGTACATGCATTTTGAACTCCTATTTCTTTTTATTGCCTCTTCTTGTGGCTGTATTAGAAGATTCTGCTTCATCATCTTCCATATCTGAATATTCGAACTTAACAGTATTTGTATTATTTTTAAAGTTATCTTCTTGTTCTGATTCAGTATCAGGTTCATCTATTTTAGTCATTCTAAAATATTGATCAAAAAGTTTGGGTTCTTTTTGATACAATTCTTCGCATTCTTTAGTTTCTAAAGATAAAAGCTGAATAAGTTTTTGGTCAGCCTTATCATAATCTTCATATTGAAGGTTAAAGAAATATTTCTCTAGTTTCTCAGAGATTGTTTCTTTCATTTTTGCTTTTTTTTCAAAATATCAATTTTCTGGGAGTCTTTTGAGCTTCCTAAGTCAGGGTTTCCAATACTAGGATTGGGAGGTGAGTATTTCTTAAGACCTGAATATTTTCCAGGTTTGGGTTTTTGCTCTATGATGGAAATATTCTTGATGTGTTCAAGAATGTCTTTATTACAAGGGCAAGAGTCAATCTTTTCAGATAACTCTTTAGTAATGTCTGCAATAATTTTTGCAGATGCTACTTCCAACTGTGTAGTGGTTACGTATTTATTGACTGTTAAGTCAAAGTTTATGATCAATCCATCTATTTTTTCATTAAGGAGGTTGATTGATCTATTGAGCTCGGGAATCGAGGTCATCCTATTAGTTGTTTTAACTGATCTTGTATATTAGTGATCTTAAGGTTGTTTTCCTTAAGAGTACCTTCAATATTTGCCTTTTTGGCGACTTCTTCAACAAAATGGTTGTTTTTTAAAGAGTTTTCTAAAAGAATAGAATGTTTGTCAATAGACTGGGTTAGCTTGATAGTTAATTTATTTTGCCTTTCAATAACTTCGAAGAATTTTTCAAAATCATTTTTATCAAGATTGTTTTTAACCAAAAAGGCTAAATCGTTTTAAATTGGTTAAAAGGTATTTTATTTTTTGAAATATCTTTAGAAATATCTTTTGAAATACCAAGGTAATGGCTTATTTTTGAAGTTTTTAAGAGACATCTTGCAATGATCTGGTTGAGATTATTGCAATGATTTACAATTGTTTGAATACCAGCTTTTCCAGAAGTAAAGAAAATGTATTCTTTATTTTCAGTATTGTCGTCAAGAGTTTTAATTTTTACTGTTTTACCTTTTTTATAAAAATGAGGAAAATCTATTTTATTACTCATTTATAACTTCAGAGATTTGTTTGATATTCTGATGTAGACTATCAATTTTTAAAGACATGTTTCTTATCAAGTTACTATCTTTTCTTTCTGAGCTTTCTCCTATATGGAGTGAATCCTTAGAAATTCTTGGTCTAAGAGTTTCTCCTAGAGCTTTTTTGTTTCTAGCTATATTTAAAACCCAAGAGTTTTCTTGAGGATTTATGTCGCATAATTGTTTATCTTTGACATGGCCTATTTCTGAAAAGACATCATCAAGTTCGATGTACTCGTCTTTCTTGTAGTCTATGCTATGGTGACTATTGGTCAGGGCATATCCTATGAGATAGGTTATGGTGAATGGTTTATCACCTGGGTTCATAAGGTCACTTCTTTCAAAGTGATGTATAAAAGATAAAATTTTATCTATATTTGCAGATTTCAAATCCATAGCAAATTTTGGATAGACTGAAAACATAAATTTTTGGTAAGCAAGGTTTCCCCTAGCAGCACCTAAGATGCAGTCTTGTCTGTCAGTTATTCTGTTTCAATTAAGGCCATTTTTATGGGAGAATTTATTCCTGCTTGGAATTGGGATTTTATCAAAAATTTTACAGCTCCGATATGGACCATTCTTATTTTTGATCTAATCTCAACTGGAATACTTTTCAAGTTATTGTTTATTTGTTCTTTAGTTAAAATGGGTAGAAAGACAGCTCCTATTGTGTCTTTTATGTCTACAGACATTTTTTTAGTACTAACAAAGTAGAAAATTTCATTTTTTCTTTTAAGTGGATTTAAATTACTAAGTTTAGAAGGAACATTTTTTAAAATGTTTTCTTTCTTTATTTTTAAATCTGTTTTCTTAACTCGAGAGAGAAGGTCTTGTTTTATTAAGAGGTTTGCATGAAAGTCGTCTTCATCCTCAACATAAGTTAGGATTTGTTTTTCTTCTGAATCATTTTCTTCAGAATTGTTGAAAATTTCTTTATTCATTTTAAGAAATGTTAACAAGTTAAAATCCTTTTTCTGAGTTCTGAAACTGAGTTTAAAGCTTTATCAAGGTGTTCTTGATGCATTTTTTTCCTATGAAGGAGGTACTTACGTATATTAACCATGGTTGGTATATATTCGTGAGTATGTTTATTGTGCTTGTAGAATCTGAAATTTATATGCACTAAATCTTTTTTATTACTTAAAAATATTTCTTTATGTTGAGAAATCTCATTCTCTTTATTACGAATTTTATCGAAAATTCCACTGTAAAGTGTTCCATTATAATGTAATGCCATTTTAACAAAGGCTCTGATACCCGTTGGCGTGTCGTGTGTGTGCGGTTTTCTGAATAGGCGTGTGTGTGCGGTTTTTTTTACAAGAAGAAGGGAATAGATGCAAAAATTGTAAAGAGAAAACTCATTTAATCAATAAGTGTTTTGGAGTAGGAGTATTACTTACATAGATAGAAACTATTCAAGCCAGCCTGTGTCATCCTTTGGTCTGTGTGGTTGCTTTCCCTGTTGGCCTCATGCCTGCGGTACTGTTGACCATCGTCGACCTGACACTCTGTCACTTACAGGTTTCATTACTCTATTTTGTATGAACACTCAAGTATAACAAAACATGGATTTATTGATAAAAGAGCTCCGAAGATGGGAGTACTCTTACAATATTTTACATCTTCTCCCCTCTAAGGGAGATTTTACTCACAAGACATTAAAAATTTATAAGATAGAGAGTGTTAATTTTTTTTTTTTTGCACTCGTTATTGCGCTGCCCTTAATGAAAACATAACTCTCAATTTATAGATACATTGAGAGGGTCTGATAATTGTTTGTTACGTCAGGCATGACGTTTCTCTCCACTAACGAATTACATTATTGTGGATAGCTGGAAGGCATCTCTAAAAGGTAAGACGCATTATTTTTCTGAGTGGATGGAAGTGTGCGGAGCATCTTCTATTAAGATGATGAGGATTTGTCATCTTCAGAGGAGGGCCCCTCCTTTGTCTCCGAATCTTTGCTTTCGCAAAAGTGACAGAGATGTTCTTCGAAAAGTTGTTCTGCATGTCGGCAGAAGTGTTGGTGTGTAGCGTTGGAGACTTCCATGGTATTGTTCATGAATTTTTCGCCAAACTTAGAGGCTTGACGAAGATCTTCTTGACTGGTGTTGTTGTAACTCCAGCTTGTAATTATACAATGTGAGTTGGTATAATTAATCTTCTTTTTTGAACCAGAGATAATCTCAATGATTTTTCTGAGATTCTTCTTAACCCATTGATGCGATTGGGATGAAGAATTTCTGTGAATGGTAGATCTTTATCCTCCATTGGTCGAGATTGTTCAATTTCTCTATTGGTTTTAGAAAGACCAATTTCCAGAAAATGGTATGAAGAAAAAGTTGATTCTTGAATCCATTCTGGGAGTGAAGAGATGCATCTGATGTAGATCGGGTTATCTTTTGCTTTAAGTACTTTCTTTCGAAAGTTCTTAATGGATTCTACCATGCTGCTTGGGAAGAATTTGAGTTCTTGAAGGTTGCAACTTGGGTAGATATTGTCGATTAGTCCAGCTTGAAAGGCTTGGTAGACTAAATTTGCATCTGCTCCTTCGAGGAAGTTGAACAGACTTTTTGTCTTCTTATCCGTAGTGAAAAACTTTTCATAAATAAGATCTTCTGGGCATGCAGCTCTTGCTTTCTTCCAGATTGTTCTGAAATCTTCAAAAGAGATTTCAGGATAGTTAACCGTTTGTTGAACGTCAATTGGAACGTCAAACCTTTGGTTTCTGTGAGCTTCTTTGACTTCTTGGATTTTTGGTCGAAGAAGTGGTTGGTTAGTTTTGCTTGTATCATCTTGATAGGTGGCAAGGCTTAATCTTGCAGATGCTTCATTTCTGAATTTTTTGCAAGTAACTTTATCAGCTTTACAGAAAGTTTCTGTAATTCCCCAGTCAGTATGAACACCGGCATGTGGTCCTTTGTAGATTACATAAAATCTTTCAGCTTCTTTGTTAAGAGCTTTTTTGTAATCTGGTGTAAACTCCTACACAGATTTGTTGGTGGGTGACAAAGTTTTCATTTTACTGATTCCTTCAGTACAAGGATTGGGGTTAACCAATAAGCTAGTTTTTCCTTCAGGAAGAGGAGTAGCTGTCTCCTTTATTATGTTTTTTAGCAAAGCATCAGCTTTCAACGGATTTGTCGATTCTTTACCAGGTGTCGTTTGCACTGGAATAGCCTTTGTTTTTAAGCTTTCGCTTTCCGGTACATTGGTGACCGTTGTTACTTGTTCATACAAGTTGATTTTCTGCTCAATTGCAGATAGCTCAATGAGGAGCATTTGTTTCTTTATCCTCAAAGTGTTGAGGTCTTCCATTTTTGTAAACTCAATTTTTGTTTACTTTTCTCTCTAATCTCCCCCTCTTTTTTTTGTAGGTGAAGTTTTTTTTTTTTGTGAGGAATATGTCATGAGGATCATATCCTTTTATAGGGCTCGAGAGGAGCAAGTGAGATCATGGATGATGTAAGGTATACCTGAAGTCACGGGTGAGGCAGTCTGCCAGTACATTTTTATTTCCTGCGAGATGTTCAATAGTGAAAGTATATCGTGAGAACCACTCTTGCCAACGTATTGTGGCCTAATTTGTTGTCTCCTGCAATCTTAGTTCGGAGGAAATAAGTAAAATTTTTATTATCTGTACGAACCAGGAAATTTACTGGTGTTAAATATACAGAGAATTTTGTAATAACTCTTTTTACAGCGAGTAATTCTTTTTCATTGCTATGGTAGTTTTTCTCGGCTGCCTTGAAATTGCCAGAGGTGTACCTGCAAATTTGTTCTTCGTATTTGGGATTTTTAGCTTTTAAAACACCTCGCCAAAATTCATCAGAAGCATCAGTTTCAATAATTAAATTGTCTTCAATGTTTGGAAGATAAAGTTTTGGAAAATTGATTAAAACTTTCTTTATCTTTTTGATGTAGTCTGTATCAGCATTTGACCAATTCCAGATGACATCTTTTTTCAATTTTACCTGTAAAGGTTTTCTCATGGCTGCAAGTTTTTCAATATATGTTTCAGCATAAGTTAAAACACCAAGAAATCTTTGCAGTTTTTTTTGTCTTCTAAAACATTTGGAAAGTCATGTAAATGTTCAAGAATATGCTTTTGAGGACAATGAGTACCCTCATTTATTTCTAAACCCAAAAAATTAATTTTTGTTTTGAAAAGATGAGCTTTCTTTTTTGAAAGTATTATTCCATATTTTAAAATGGTTCTGAGAACCTGTGTAACATGAACATAGTGCTCTTGTTCATCTTTGCTGAAGACCATGATGTCATCAACGTATACAGTACAGAAACCTTCAAGTCCTCTAAGGGCGTTCTGCATGTGTCTTTGAAAAATACTAGGAGCTTGTTTAAGCCCAAAGGGTAGTACTTTCCATTGAAAGAGTCCATCAGGACATGTGAAGGCAGTGAGAAGCTGTGATTCTTCATCAAGTAGGACTTGCCAGAAACCTGACTTGCAGTCAAAACTTGAATACATATTTTTTCCTCGTAGAAGAGTTAAAAGTTCGTGCATATTGGGAAGATTATGTGAGTCTCCAATAGTTGCATCATTGATTGCTTTGTAGTTGACAACCATGCGCTTCTTTCCTCTTCTTTTTTCTGATTCTTTATTGACAAGAAAGGCAGGGGACATATGAGGGGATTTTGATTCTATAATTAGGCTCATATCAAGTAATTCCTTGATTTGTTTGGAGAATTCTTCTCTATCTTGTAGAGAGTAAACCATAGGTTTTTCTCTAATAACCTTTTTGGGAATAATGAGCTTAATTGAAGCTTTCATCCATCCTTTGGTTTTATCTGGATCAATAGGATTTTCAGAACAAACTTTTTCAAGAAGATCTTCAATCTGTTTGAACCTGGTAGTTTGAGTAGAAATAATCCTTTCTTTATTAATTCCTTCTTGGGTTATATTAGTACCCGGAATTTGTTTTTCTTTAGAGCTTTTTTCTTGAGTTTCAAGAAAACCTGGTTTTCCTTTGCTATAGGCTTCTGTAACCTTTTTTATAATTACCATAACATTATTAAGATGAAAGGCAATTCTATCTATCCATTGTATAAATGGTCCATAAACTTGACAAAAGTTGTTACCAATTATGATATCAATTCCTGAATTTTGTTGGTAAATAGTGGGAACGTTGAAATGTTCTCCTGAAAGTTCGAGATTAATATTTCTACAAACTTTATTTATCTTTATGGTTTCACCATTTTCAATAGTGGCACTAATGTCTTTGGGAGCATTTTCCCATAGCTCATCCGGAATGATGAATTTACTTGCAAGACATAAAGATGCACCTGTGTCTACAAAACAATGTACTCTAAATTTCTTATATCCTTTAAAGTTAAGGAAGGCTGAAGCATAAATAGAGTTTGGATTAGTGAGATTCATGATAAGGGAATCATTAATCTTCTGGAGGTTTGCGCAAAAATGGTTAAACTCCTCCTCCCTAAAAAGTGGAGCCTGTATGAGACTAGTCTGAGTCATCCGTGGTTGATTCGTTTTCATCAGAATTTGATGAAGAATCAGTTTCAACATGAAATGTAAAGACATGTTGTATACCTTCATACTCCTCTTCAAGAGCTTCATAACCTCCATTATTAGTGGTTTGTAAAACCTTGACTTTGTCAGGGTATTTTTTCTATTTGGACATTCATTGGCATAGTGTCCTTCTTCATTGCAGATCCAACATCTACATTTTTTTCTTTCCTTGTGGATAGGAAGTAGTCTTCTTAGGTGATTCTTTTGAAGGTTTTTTGAAGTATTTTTCCTGGTGAAAGTTTTCTTCTTTTCTTTTTCCATAAAGATTTGTATTTCTTTTTGTTTTTATATTTTTTCTTAGTATAAGTTTTTCTTCCAATATCAAAGTTTTTGAAATCAGAGAGAATGCTACAACAATCTTTACTTATTGTTTTGAGCTTTTGTTGTTTATATCTGTCTTGACAGATTCTATCAATTTCTTCCTTTGCAATTTTTGTTGCATAAGAAAGACTGGTTTGCTGGATTTCTCCAGTAGCTTCTTTTTTCCATCTTTCAGTACAGATTTCTCCAATAATTGGAATTTTCATTAGATAAGCAGATATCCATTGTGCATATTCACTTCTCTGGGGAATATCATATAGATATGATTCATACATACATGTGTATTTGTCGAGAAGACTAATATCATGTAATTGCAGTTTTGTCATTGAAACTCTTGCTACGTCAACTTTCTTATTAATGGTAAAGTCTTTATTAGAAATATAATCAAGACCTAAGAAAGTAGTGTATATGACATTTATGAGATTATCAAAAAGATCTAAACCATGTAAATCTTCATTCCAATTATTGTTTCTTAGGAACTTTTGCACAATTCCATCAGTTTTGTGTTCTAAAAGTAGAAGAACATTTTTTGCTTTTTCAAATTCATCTGGGTTTGTCTGTAAGATTAGTGAAATCTCAGTAACCCATTTTTCTACAACTCTTTCTCTGAGTTTAGATCTTGGATACAATCAATATTGAGTATATTGATCGTATTGGGTCCTTTGCTACTATCTGGAATACCATTGTGTACAGGCATTTTGAACTCATATTTCTTTTGATTGCCTCTTCTTGTGGCTGTATAAGAAGATTCTGCTTTATCATCTTCCATATCTGAATATTCGAACTTAACAGTCTTTGTATTAGTTTTAAAGTTATCTTCTTGTTCTGATTCAGTATCAGGTTCATCTACTTTAGTCATTCTAAAATATTGATCAAAAAGTTTGGGTTCTTTTTGATACAATTATTTGCATTCTTTAGTTTCTAAAGATAAAAGCTGAATAAGTTTTTGGTCAGCCTTATCATAATCTTCATATTGAAGGTTAAAGAAATATTTCTCAAGTTTCTCAGAGATTGTTTCTTTCATTTTTGCTCTTTTTTGAAAATATCAATTTTCTGGGAGTCTTTTGAGCTTCCTAAGTCAGGGTTTCCAATACTAGGATTGGGAGGTGAGTATTTCTTAAGACCTGAATATTTTCCAGGTTTGGTTTTTTGCTCTATGATGGAAATATTCTTGATGTGTTCAAGAATGTCTTTATTACAAGGGCAAGAGTCAATCTTTTCAGATAACTCTTTAGTAATGTCTGCAATAATTTTTGCAGATGCTACTTCCAACTGTGTAGTGGTTACGTATTTATTGACTGTTAAGTCAAAGTTTAGGATCAGCCCATCTATTTTATCATTAAGGAGGTTGATTGATCTATTGAGCTCGGGAATCGAGGTCATCCTATTAGTTGTTTTAACTGCTCTTGTATATTAGTGATCTTAAGGTTGTTTTCCTTAAAAGTGCCTTCAATATTTGCCTTTTTGGCGACTTCTTCAACAAAATGGTTGTTTTTTAAAGAGTTTTCTAAAAGAATAGAATGTTTGTCAATAGACTGGGTTAGCTTGATAGTTAATTTAGTTTGCCTTTCAATAACTTCGAAGAATTTTTCAAAATCATTTTTATCAAGATTGTTTTTTAACCAAAAAGGCTAAATCGTTTTTAAATTGGTTAAAAGGTATTTTATTTTTTGAAATATCTTTAGAAATATCTTTCGAAATACCAAGGTAATGGCTTATTTTTGAAGTTTTTAAGAGACATCTTGCAATGATCTAGAGTTTAATTTTTACTGTTTTACCTTTTTTATAAAAATGAGGAAAATCTATTTTAAAGACATGTTTCTTTATCAAATTACTATCTTTTCTTTCTGAGATTTCTCCTATATGGAGTGAATCCATAGAAATTCTTGGTCTAAGAGTTTCTCCTAGAGCTTTTTTGTTTCTAGCTATATTTAAAACCCAAGAGTTTTCTTGAGGATTTATGTCGCATAATTGTTTATCTTTGACATGGCCTATTTCTGAAAAGACATCATCAAGTTCGATGTACTCGTCTTTCTTGTAGTCTATGCTATGGTGACTATTGGTCAGGGCATATCCTATGAGATAGGTTATGGTGAATGGTTTATCACCTGGGTTCATAAGGTCACTTCTTTCAAAGTGATGTATAAAAGATAAAGTTTTACCTATATTTGCAGATCTCAAATCCAGAGCAAATTTTGGATAGACTGAAAACATAAATTTTTGGTAAGCAAGGTTTCCCATAGCAGCACCTAAGATGCAGTCCTGTCTGTCAGTAATTCTGTTGTCAATTAAGGCCATTTTTATGGGAGAATTTATTCCTGCTTGGAATTGGGATTTTATCAAAAATTTTACAGCTCCGATATGGACCATTCTTATTTTTGATCTAATCTCAACTGGAATACTTTTCAAGTTATTGTTTTATTTGTTCTTTAGTTAAAAGGGGTAGAAAGACAGCTCCTATTGTGTCTTTTATGTCTACAGACATTTCTTTAGTACTAACAAAGTAGAAAATTTCATTTTTTCTTTTAAGTGGATTTAAAATACTAAGTTTAGAAGGAACATTTTTTTAAATGTTTTCTTTCTTTATTTTTAAATCTGTTTTCCTAACTCGAGAGAGAAGGTCTTGTTTTGTTAAGAGGTTTGCATGAAAGCCGTCTTCATCCTCAACATAAGTTAGGATTTGTTTTTCTTCTGAATCATTTTCTTCAGAATTGTTGAAAATTTCTTTATTCATTTTAAGAAATGTTAACAAGTTAAAATCCTTTTTCTGAGTTCTGAAACTGAGTTTAAAGCTTTATCAAGGTGTTCTTGATGCATTTTTTGCCTATGAAGGAGGTACTTACGTATATTAACCATGGTTGGTATATATCTGTGAGTATGTTTATTTTGTGCTTGTAGAATTCTGAAATTTATATGCACTAAATCTTTTTTATTACTTAAAAGTATTTCTTTATGTTGAGAAATCTCATTCTCTTTATTACGAATTTTATCGAAAATTCCACTGTAAAGTGTTTCATTATAATGTAAATGCCATTTTAACAAAGGCTCTGATACCAGTTGGCGTGTCGTGTGTGTGCGGTTTTCTGAATTGGCATGTGTGTGCGGTTTTTTTTTGACAAGAAGAAGGGAATAGATGCAAAAATTGTAAAGAGAAAACTCATTTAATCAATAAGTGTTTTGGAGTAGGAGTATTACTTACATAGATAGACACTATTCAAGCCAGCCTGCGTCATCCTTTGGTCTGTGGGGTTGCTTTCCCTGTTGGCCTCATGCATGCGGTAATGTTGACCATCGTCGACCTGACACTCTGTCACTTTCAGGTTTCATTACTCTATTTTGTATGAACACTCAAGTATAACAAAACATGGATTTATTGATAAAAGAGCTCACAAGATGGGAGTACTCTTACAATATTTTACATCTTCTCCCCTCTAAGGGAGATTTTACTCACAAGACATTAAAAATTTATAAGATAGAGAGTGTTATTTTTTTATTTTTTTATTTTTTTTGCACTCGTTATTGCGCTCCCCTTAATGAAAACATAACTCTCAATTTATAGATACATTGAGAGGGTCTGATAATTGTTTGTTACGTCAGGCATGACGTTTCTCTCCACTAACGAATTACATTATTTTTGATAGCTGGAAGGCATCTCTAAAAGGTAAGACGCATTATTTTTCTGAGTGGATGGAAGTGTGCGGAGCATCTTCTATTAAGATGATGAGGATTTGTCATCTTCAGAGGAGGGCCCCTCCTTTGTCTCCGAATCTTTGCTTTCGCAAAAGTGACAGAGATGTTCTTCGAAAAGTTGTTCTGCATGTCGGCAGAAGTGTTGGTGTGTAGTGTTGGAGACTTCCATGGTATTGTTCATGAATTTTTCGCCAAACATAGAGGCTTGACGAAGATCTTCTTGACTGGTGTTGTTGTATCTCCAGCTTGTAATTATACAATGTGAGTTGGTATAATTAATCTTCTTTTTTGAACCAGAGATAATCTCAATGATTTTTTCAGAGATTCTTCTTAACCCATTGATGCGATTGGGATGAAGAATTTCTGTGAATGGTAGATCTTTATCCTCCATTGGTCGAGATTGTTCAATTTCTCTATTGGTTTTAGAAAGATCAATTTCCAGAAAATGGTATGAAGAAAGAGTTGATTCTTGAATCCATTCTGGGAGTGAAGAGATGCATCTGATGTAGATCGGGTTATCTTTTGCTTTAAGTACTTTCTTTTGAAAGTTCTTAATGGATTCTACCGTTTGTTGAACGTCAATTGGAACGTCAAACCTTTGGTTTCTGTGAGCTTCTTTGACTTTTTGGATTTTTGGTCGAAGAAGTGGTTGGTTAGTTTTGCTTGTATCATCTTGATATGTGGCAAGGCTTAATCTTGCAGATGCTTCATTTCTGAATTTTTTGCAAGTAACTTTATCAGCTTTACAGAAAGTTTCTGTAATTCCCCAGTATGTATGAACACCGGCATGTGGTCCTTTGTAGATTACATAAAATCTTTCAGCTTCTTTGTTAAGAGCTTTTTTGTAATCTGGTGTAAACTCCTACACAGATTTGTTGGTGGGTGACAAAGTTGTCATTTTACTGATTCCTTCAGTACAAGGATTGGGGTTAACCAATAAGCTAGTTTTTCCTTCAGGAAGAGGAGTAGCTGTCTCCTTTATTATGCTTTTTAGCAAAGCATCAGCTTTCAACGGATTTGTCGATTCTTTACCAGGTGCCGTTTGCACTGGAATAGCCTTTGTTTTTAAGCTTTCGCTTTCCGGTACATTGGTGACCATTGTTACTTGTTCATACAAGTTGATTTTCTGCTCAATTGCAGATAGCTCAATGAGGAGTATTTGTTTCTTTATCCTGAAAGTGTTGAGGTCTTCCATTTTTGTAAACTCAATTTTTGTTTACTTTTCTCTCTAATCTCCCCTCTTTTTTTTTTTGTAGGTGAAGTTTTTTTTTTTTTTTTGTGAGGAATATGTCATGAGGATCATATCCTTTTATAGGGCTCGAGAGGAGCAAGTGAGATCATGGATGATGTAAGGTATACCTGAAGTCACGGGTGAGGCAGTCTGCCAGTACATTTTTATTTCATGCGAGATGTTCAACAGTGAAAGTATATCGTGAGAACCACTCTTGCCAACGTATTAGTCGGCCTAATTTGTTGTCTCCTGCAATCTTAGTTTGGAGGAAATAAGTAAAATTTTTATTATCTGTACGAACCAGGAAATTTACTGGTGTTAAATATACAGAGAATTTTGTAATAACTCTTTTTACAGCGAGTAATTCTTTTTCATTGCTATGGTAGTTTTTCTCGGCTGCCTTGAAACTGCCAGAGGTGTACCTGCAAATTTGTTCTTCGTTTTTGGGGGTTTTAGCTTTTAAAACACCTCCCCAAAATTTATCAGAAGCATCAGTTTCAATAATTAAACTGTCTTCAATGTTTGGAAGATAAAGTTTTGGAAAATTGATTAAAACTTTCTTTATCTTTTTGATGTAGTCTGTATCAACATTTGACCAATTCTAGATGACATCTTTTTTCAATTTTACCTGTAAAGGTTTTTCTCATGGCTGCAAGTTTTTCAATATATGTTTCAGCATAAGTTAAAACACCAAGAAATCTTTGCAGTTGTTTTTTTGTCTTCTAAAACATTTGGAAAGTCATGTAAATGTTCAAGAATATGCTTTTGAGGACAATGAGTACCCTCATTTATTTCTAAACCCAAAAAATTAATTTTTGTTTTGAAAAGATGAGCTTTCTTTTTTGAAAGTATTATTCCATATTTTAAAATGGTTCTGAGAACCTGTGTAACATGAACATAGTGCTCTTGTTCATCTTTGCTGAAGACCATGATGTCAT